AAAAACAAACAACAAAAAAAAACCCACCAAAACAACCAGCTTTCAGCCATTTCTGGCTCCCTGCAAGACACTTAGAGCCGTTAAAAGGGTTAATCTGCAAGGATGGTGGTTAAGGAGAGAAGAATCGCATTAACTCTGACTTTATTTGGTGTTATCTGCCATAGAAACGCATACTCCATTGAACTAACTTGACAGAGGCTCCACCAGTTTCAGCAGAGTCAGGCTAATGTTCTCCCATTTCACTTTTATTACTACTGAACCTACTTCTTTTGGTCAATTAGAGAACAGCAAGTTGGCCAGAATTCTGAACAAAGGAGAGAATCATCTATTGAGTATTTTACTTCAAGGACTTGTCTATGGGTCAAAAAGGTACTGTAATTTAAGGTTTGTCATGGGAGTGAATGACCACCTAAAGCCAACGGAGCAATCTGTACAAGGGATTTCCAGCCTGCTTCATGCAAAAGACAAACAGGCTAGCTCAAACAACAAAACAAGCTACTTGTGAGTTAATTCTCTGACTTGGCCTGAAGCATGAACACTCAGAGAAACTACTCTAGCAGTAGAGTCAGGGCTGTAACTAGAGGCAAAGGGGCTGAGACAAGCAGCTGGAGGCAGTAACCTCTTCTACTAGCACAGCTGGAAAAAGACACTCTGTCAATAGCCTTTAAACTACTGTTCTTCTGCTTTGTGTGTTTAGATTAAAGCTCCTTGGGACACTGACCAGTTGTGTTTTTAGAGCACTAACTCCAATGGAAGCACATGATATAACCCAAAAATGTTAGAAGGCAAACAGCAGGGGCTGGGAAAACACGTATACTTGTACCTGTAAGGTAGTCAGAAAGAATCAGCCTCTTGAACTGGATATATTTTAGAAGCAACACAGATCACTACTGATGTATAGTATAAAGCACAAAATTTGCCAACTTATTCTTTAGATAAAAGTTTATCTTCTGCCTAGAGTAAGTACATACGTACCCAACTTCAAAACCGACAACAATAAACTACTAACAAAGTGAAGAAAAACAGCAATTCGTAACAGAAATGTTTAGACAGTTGCACTGAAAGACATGTCTTCATGAGGACTCGGGAGCATGCTATTCAAGGCCTAAGTTTCTGAACCTTTTATGTTTCCAAGATGAAGAGGGGCAATGTTTTGAAATCAACCTATTCTTAAGAATTTGCTAATGTCTAGCTATAAAGACAAAAATACACACACATCCCCCACATTATTCCCCCAAAAGCCACCACGTATTCCAATCCTGCACTTACAGATTTGAATATGTACCTTCAATTACATGAATTATAAACCAAAACAGGCACTTTGAATGGCAAAATGCACAACAGCATACTCCCCAAACAATTTTCAAACAAATTAATGTTTAACAGCAATATCTTTGTATGATATTTTCTAGATACATAAATAATATTTACTCTTATGAATTCACTGGAAATTACACCTTTCCCCGTACTTCCTATGACTTGTCATTAGACTTTATTTAGACAGCCTATCAAATGCCTTTTCCTCACACACAGAGAAAAACACTCTTTTGTTATCTAGCAGTGTAAGTATAGTACTACCAGCCAAAGTGAAACGTTCCTATCCTGTTGTCATCCTAGAACTATGTTTCCTGTGATTTAAAAGGCTTGTTGTGATTTGCAACCAATGTAGAACTTACTTTTTTTTTTTTAAGATAGTTTTCATTTCTGCTGCCTCCATTTCTCCCCCACCCCATATTAGCCCACAGAGTATGTTTCTCCAAAAACCTTGGACCTTCTTTTCCATTATTCCCTATTCCTTTTCTCTCCCTGCTTATGTTCCTTATGCATGTCTTCCTCTTCTAGTGTTTTTAATAACCAGCAAAAACAGTTGACCCTAATACCACAGATTTCAAAACTGGACATACCATTTTAAACTTCAGCAGCAGAAAATGATGAGCCTGAACCTTTTTCCACTCTAGTACAACTTAACAGCACTTTGAGTAACAGCAGAAGGGTTAGAGCTCTGTCCGCAGACATCAGAAGATAGCACTGCATTTCAAGTTCAATGTTTAAACATAAATCAGAATCGATTCTGCAGAATTCTAAATTCGAGGAAGCCCATTTTAACTACTACGGGGGAAGCTGAAAGAGGCGGCTATTTGTTGGTGAGTTCATTACCTTATCTTTATAATGATCCAGAGCAGCTGATCTATTTGATCCCTACCTCACTCCACCCCTCAAAAAAATTAATGCTGTTGTCTAACAACAGGTAGACTTCTCCAGCTGTGCTTTGATGTAAAACAGTTGACATCTGAAAGAGGGAGACCTTCCAAGGAGGAAGGTATGTTTGCATGCTTTAGTTTTGCTGACGTATCCTCAGAAAACAGGTAAACAACTGATAAATAGCTACCTAAGAAAAACGTTCGGCTGTACTGAAAAGCAATATTACCAGTTGGGCCAAATATCAAGCTCTCAGTAGAAATGCCTTACTTGGCTAGATGTAAACAAAGGGGAAAAAACTGTACATGTGCTTTTATTTAGTTAAGCAAAGATGCAAAAATGTGTGCTATTACAAGATATCAGAGAGACTCCAAGCTAGGGAAAGCACAGTATTAAGTGATTTTCCCTTTTCTTAGGGCTTCTAACATCAATCGCAGGCTTAAAGGTTTTTTTTACTGACTCTGGACCAGAAACCACACGAGCCAAAACTAATGTTCAACTGTTCATTGAACATGTATGCACACAAAAAGTTAAAGCCTCAACATCCTCCCTCCCCAGCCCCAAAGTTAATCCGTAACACAAATTCTTGGCTTTGAAATATTTAAAAGACTTAAATTACCAAAGTCATCTTGAATTTTTTGTAAGTTATCTGTCAATCCATGAAAACCATTTGTGTGCCAAAGCAGATAGCCTCAGGGTGGGGGAAGGGGAGGGGAGGACTTGGCAGCTTTCAAAAATTCTCCAAACACTGTGTCTCTAAACCAGCATTTACTAACAGTGTCACTATACTCAGCTCTTTTTGTGTGCCTGTCACTAAGCAGCAAGTAAGAACAGACAGCTCAGAAGCCTCTTGAAAGGACAAGGAGGGAACCTTCAACCTGAATCTTTTTCCCCCCCAACCCCTTTCCATACCCAATCACCTTTCCTATTGCATTACATCTTTATTGTTGACTGAAACAGTAGACTAAAGTCAGGGGAACACCTACCCATTTTAATGCAAAAACCTTGAAAATCTATACCACAGCTCAGTTAAAAAGATCAGACAATTATTGGTTGAACCTGCTCAAAATATTGCAACTAAAAGAAAAAGATTTAGCTTTAAGGAACAGACATACTTTCACTTAGCTATGCAGACATTTCATAGCCACTTTGCCATACAGGCTTATGTCTGGCTGTTTGAATAAAAATAGCTAATGTGCTTGCTTGTTATGCCATTAAATAAAGTGCACAAAGGAATTGCCAGTACTGTTTTTGTCCATTAAAGGCAATGGTCATTAATAGCTTGTACTTGTAGAAGGCTGTCAGGAAAACAGAATGCCTAAGCTTCCTCCACATTTTTCTATATGTTTAACCATAGAGGAGACAGCAGGGAAAAAGATACTACATGTTTCCTTGTTCCAGAACAGGTCACACCTGTGGAATAGCTGTCAAGCCATACAAGCTTCAATCGTAGAGAAAAAAAGACTAGTCCAATAAATTTGAGTGGGCAAAAAGATGCGAGTCTTTTCATGGAAAGAGTATCTTGGTAAAATACACCATGACGTGGGTTAGTATTTCTGGACTTTTTTTTGCTGACCTGACTAAAATCTCAGAGATTAGCACATTACTTGTATTACTGTTCTTTCTGATCTGTTTTATGCTTTTTGATCTGAAGGAGTTAACTTTCAGCAATATTCCCCGTGAGAGAGGAAATAGGCAATGAATGGACTAATCGCACAATCATGTCTGGGCTAGGTGAACAGATTTTTCAGACATCTTCAAATAGGTCCACGTGGAAATCACGCCAGAGAGGCTAAATACACCACACTGAGGAAACAGGCTATGTCAACTGGATAATTTCCAGGCCTGGATCGCCTAACAAGCGGACTGGAGGATGGGAAGCTGACATGTTCACAACATGTCAACCATGAGAAGCCAGGACTTTTCACCAGTTATACTGGAGAGGGGCTGAACAGGAGAGCTGACTCCACCAACAAGAGAGACTGGGACGGGGGGGGGGGGGGGGGGACATCATACACGCTCAGATGAAAAGTTACTTGCGGGGAGAAGGAGACAAACAGGGTGGTGAGAGGAAGTATAAGTAAAAGCAGGTTTATTAGACTGTCTAAATATGCCTAAGTCTTCCACTCACTAGGATATGACAGAGATTTTACCAGCCCTCATAAAGATTTTGTGCTCATTTGCCTGCGGCTGCCATGTTTTCCTGGAAATATGTGAATACGAACCTGGAGAACAATCGTTGCTGACTACAGCTTTCAGTTAAGACATCAAAGCACTCGCTGCGTGAAGCTTGAGAATTTACCTTTTGAGAGCTCTTAGGAAATTGAAATGACACAGGATTAGCTTGGCAGAAAGGGGAAGGTGGTACACGGCCCTATTTCTATGAGAAATGACTTGCCATCAATGCAGAACCCTAAACAGATTATGGTAAAAGACACTGTCACAGCCTGCCCTCATTTTGGAGCACATCTATCTTGTACCCAAGGACCTGAGACAGGCAGAGGGAGCCCTACGAAGGTGAGGACACCATTAGTCTTCTCCTAACCTGGATTCAATCAGGTGCGTAACTTCAGGTTTATCGGCAACTAGCCACATGTCAAACCACCGCACTAAGATTAGTGCTACGCTTTCTTGCTGAAATATTTTTCTTCCTCACTCAAGGACTGGCAAAGCTTTGAGTCACGAGAAGTCAGGCACTTCTTTGTTCAAACCAGGTTGAAGTTTACTCCATTTGCTCTGCCAGTTTTTCTAGTAAGAAAGAGGCTTCTACCTAAATTCTCTAATTTTCATAAGGTACTTACAAGCATGATAGGGTCAGAAGAGAGAAACTTATCAGAATGCTCCTTTCCCCTCTGGTTCTCTTCTTCCCAGTTTTCTGGAGTTCAAATGAACTCTCATAAAACTATCAGGGACAGCAGAGCTGGAAAGCAAGAGAAAGTGCTCAATTCCAGTGCTTAAAGCATAATTTTTAAAGAAATTAAGAAACCCCAATAGCTAGGCAGGTTCCCACCTGTAACCAAATGCTTGTGGGAACTGTATAGATGATCGGTGCTATACTTACTTATTCCAAATAGCATTAATATAATGAACTGGAAAACAATCTCATGCCCATTGCTTAGGCAAATATTTTCTCAGTGCTTACAATCCACCTTGGAAATAGAGGCTTGCTTCAGTAGCGGGTTGACCTCCTGCGAGAAGCCCTCTCAAGTGTAGATTACACTCTTTGGATGTATTTGGAAGATGTTTGGCTCCTATGTTTAAGGGCCATGCAGGACTGACTAGGCTTAGTGAAATATGCACTATCAAGACAGTCACTCCTCTGCAAGCACCATCTTGCAGTTGTATCACTGGGTAGAAACCCAAGCCCTGGCATGGCATCTGAGTCTTTAAAGTCTGGGGTGAATGATTCTTACTCACATCTAGCAATCAAGAAACAAAAACAACTATTAAAAATGTGGTGTTCAGATCCCTAACATTATGAATTATTCAGCCTTTAAACATGCTTTACTGAGAGTTCAGTAGGAGAAAAATGCAGTTCTGAATCAATTTCATCTGGAATAGTGCAGGGGGAGGGAGAGTTGCCCTCCTATTTTGAGAGCAACATCTATGCTATACATGCAGAGCCAAAGCCTTTTAATCCAGCAGGCTGAATACATACTAGTTATTCAAACTCAAGAACGTGTGCATAAAAGGAATTTCATACAATTAGCCTCTGTTGTCCTCATTTTATGCTCTGTTTTATGTTCTCATTCCCATGTTGCTATCATTACGCAGTCAGACCCATCTTTTTTTGCCTCCCACAATGTTTTTAGTAATATAAAAACATTAAGACAAGCAGGCAAAGATGTCTTTAAAAAAAAAAAAAGTATTTGCACCAACCACTGATCCATGATTTAGTCAAACAGACCCACTTCACAGATCATTGTAGTACTGCAAAATCAAGTGAAACACAATGAAAACAGGCAACACTGGTTTAATCTTAAATACCCGTTTCATAGTTTCCTGCTAACTGTAACAGAATGGGACACAGTCATCATTTGATGAATAAGATTTTTTTAGTAGGCTACCACTCTGGATAGCATGTAAAAAGATCTTATGGAATAAGAAAAAAAATCGCATTTATTCTCAAATAATAAAACCTCCACTTGCATATCATGATTTGCTAAACAATTGAGAGAATTTTATAATTCAGCCAAAACGAGAGAGTGCAAACATGTTTGAGGAGGTCTGTGCAAGGAATCGATCCTAGTTTCTGAGTAACAGACTGAGGACTTGTATTACATGGAGTAAAATTCAGTAACACAACTAAGAGAAACTGTAAGTTATTGGCTATGTATGGTTTATACTGTGACAAAGAGCAGAGATAACTGACTTCCTCACAGTAAAGAGCCTTGTTTCTACCGTTGCTTTCATATATTCATGCACCATAAATGTAATAGCTTTGTACAGTACAAGAGCAGAAAAACAGCAGCACAGGAGCTAGGGTAGGTCAGTCTCAGAATAGATCATCCAACATCTCTGCATCCTTACAGGAAACCTCCTGTCACTGAGACAACACTCTTTCCCCTCTTTACTAGCCTGATCAACTACTAAGTTTTGTTTTTTCATCTGCAGGAGCATTTCATAGGGACACAAAATGGAAAGATGCCAATCTTCCCAGAGCCAATTCTGAGTAGGTCAGTCTTGGCTCTGTAGTAGACCACATAGTGCAGCAAAAGGAAACACAAGGCCTTGAACTCATGCCCGTCTCCCCTCCTGTCCTCCATACACACACCCTAGATGCAGATTGTCTGTGATTGCTGAGCAAAAGTAATTCACTGGTGGCCAACAAGATCTCCACTGGAGACTATGATAGCTGCCAACAGGCCACATCCATAAGCAAACCAAGAACTGCTCTGATTAAAACTACAAGAACCCAGAAGTTACAAAGCCAAACTTAACCTTGAATGCATACTTTAGGTTTCCCTCAGGTGTTATAGGAAGTTACAGAGTAACTATAATGGAGATTTCTTATTTGGAACTGCAAAGCTAATGCCAATCTAGAGATCAGATAAGCCCAGGGAAAGAAGCAATAAATATTAACTTCCCTGTTCTGACAGCATTCTTCAACCAAGAGTAATGCTGTAGTACTACAGGGCATTTCAGATTCCAGACTTCTTTCTTCATCCTCCAGAGCCAGTTTATCTCAACTAACTTTGACATCAGTGCGATGACGCCATTATGTAAGTGATACATGAGAACTGAAGTTAGGCTCCATCAAATAACCACTAGAAGTATTCTGAGGTTGTGTGTTCACTTCTCCCTCACACAGATGACTTCTGGTCTTTAGTAACGATGGCTTTAGTTCAGGTAGACATCACGATACACATCACCAGGCCACCCATCACCCATGACTTTTGATTTACGAACAAAGTAGAGGCCATGTACGTAGACAACTGACAGCCACAAAGAAAGCTGAGACACTGAATAAATCAAGTAGTAAAAAACTTTCTGGAGAATATTTCAAATATCAGTTCTTAAGAAACTCCATGTCACTACGCTAAATCTGGAAGTAATCCACAAGGAATTGCAGGGAAAGAATGTTCCACTTCAACACGTTAGGGGCACAGCTACTTCCTTATTACCCAGAAAACCAGCTTCTCGATAATTTTTTTTTTTAAATAATCATGAGCATACTACTACATCACCATGGACAAAATACTGCAAGATAGCAAGAAATTTTTAGTCAGCTGATCAGTAAAACAACAAATCTGTACAGACAGATTCACAGGTCAAACTCAGGTTTCTTCCCTAGGGTGAAACAAAAGCAAAAACAACACGAAAACGCAAAAGGAAGGGATGTGCCAAACCTCCTACCCCTCATCCTTTTACAATACCCACTATATGCAATCTGGCTATTAAAGACTGCCAGCACTTCAAGAACGCCCATGCTTTCCTGACTGTTCTTACAGACAAACAAACAAACAAAACCTAAACAATTCAATAGAAATATTACAATAAAGTGAAAGCTGCCATCCTGACTCAGTTTTCTTGGGGAAAAACTGCTTAAGTTGCATTTTGAAATGTACTAAGCACAAGCTGGGGAGCAAGGAGTTGAACTTCAAAAACAAACAAAAAAACCCCCAAAACAACAACAAAAAATAGGTGGCTGAGTAAGGCCTTAAACCAGCGAACTACTTGTACTACGCAATGCTTAGACCACAGCTCACTTGAAAACCAGTGCAAGTGACCAAAATCAGTGGCTAATTTGCCTATTTAGCATTTCTTACAGGTATCTAGAAAAGAGCCTGAATTTGTCCTTCCAAAGCCTTCGTAAGGCCTACCGTGAATCACTTATTCATTTTAAAGGCAAGATAGCGGTCAGCTGACCTTTCCAGTGCTATCCAGTCTCTAGTAACTCCATCTGACTTCGCTCCCCCGTATGCCTCCAGCTTCTAGCCGCAAGGACACAGGTCCAGGACTCCCACGGCAGGCAGCAAGTCATTTTGCCGCGGAAGGTTGCGCAGGCACGTGGCAGCTACGGCCGCAACCTCACGCACGGGCACGGACCTGGGAGTAGATGGCGCTGGCAAAGGAGAAAGAGCTTCTGGTGGAATCCATTTAACACATTCCTGAACAGCTTCTGCCAATACGGTTCCTATGGACAGTTAAAGTTATTCTCGCTAAAAGCAAACATCCCTGCTAGGCTAGCTGCCTTCACTGAAAGGAGAGCATGCGTTTCACAGAAACAAAGATATATTGAGCTCATTTTCCTCCTACAGAGTTGTTCTGGTATGCCTAAAACTGATTTTGTTCCATTAAATCTACTTAGGTAGCTAACAAAACCAGACCTACTGGAGTAGGACCTATTTATATATCTTTACATAACATGTTGGGTTTTAAAATGCTTGTTTGGCTTTCTGGACCTTTGCCCATGAATTAAACCATAGAGCATTTTTGCAGCTATCACCTCTAAATTAGCACAAGAACTGGCACCTTCTGTGCTTCTTTTACTTATTCGTTCATTTTAAAAGAGACATTAAAATTGAGTATTAACATATACTGAAGCACTAGTGCTTTAAACAAGCATAATAACCTGGGTTTACTACACCTCATACATTTTATAGATTCATTCCTAACGCTATTAATAAGCGTATTTAGTAAATGCAGGACTTGCTTTAGAATATCTTTGTATCTTCACTGATTAAAGCTAAAAATACATCTACAACCTCCCTGTTGCATATTTCCTCCAGATTCAAACAAAAACCCCAACCAACATAAACAACTGTGATTAATGCTTCAATTTCAAACGGGCAGCGAGATGAACACCATAAAAAGAAACTAAGACTTAATATTTTTCCATCTCCCCTCAAAACACTAGAGTCTAAATCAACTTCTGTCTGGTCAGTCGAGACTTTGTAAGTTCTGTCTCTACCAAACCACATGCTGCCAGGAATAGCATAAATCATAAAACAAGGAACACAAGATGATTTGGGGGTTTGGGATTTTTTTTTTTTTAAATTACTGAAAGGCCCCCCAAAATTATCCTTACAAAGTGAAACAGTTAAAACTGCTTTTAGCTTTCAAAACGTGCACAGATGTATTTATTGGGCATACACATAATGTTTGAACAAAAAAAAGTTAGTCATAGGTCAGACAATAAAGCTTACTATGACTACACCCTTCACTTGAAGGAAAAGTGAGAGCTCAATTTCTGCTTTAGCCAACTGAAGAAAGAGAAGAAAGTGAATTTGCCTTGATTTTGTCTGCTACAAGCCAGCCTCCTACGGTCCCCTCCGACGTGCAACAAAACGCTTTCGGGAGGCTGAAAAAAAAAAAAAATCCTACTATTGGTCAGGCTTTGCAAGAGGCACATCCCGTGCACCTTGTTCAGGACACACTGATGGGTAGCAGCATTTTCCTCGCCCCAGGGCTTTTACACACACACACACAGATCGGAAGGTAATCATCTGGCAGGCCGTGCTAGCGAAAGCCCCAGAACTACTGGTTTTCCAGATTACAGCACCAGGTTAACGTCTTCGCGAGGTGCTCTGCTCTCCGATTCCGCACCAGCCCTCCATTTTGTCAACCGACTCGATTTAAGCGCTTCCACCACCACCACCACC